TATTCCTTTTATTATTTTATAAATTTTAATAAATATTTAAAATTTATTTATTAAATTTTTAAAACGTATTAATAATTTAAAAAAATATATTATAATTAAAATATTATTTAATAAATTTAATATATAATTATAATAAATTATTATTTTCTTTTAAAGTTAAGGTTTAATGTTTTTTAATATAATAATAATTTATTAAATAAAATTTAAAATATTTTTATATTAATTTTCCCTTTATTTTACTTTTTTATTTTAATATTAAAAAAAGTGGTAAAAATTTAATTATAATAATATTAGATTTTATTTTATTTTATATCAAAATGTTATTTTATTATTAAATATATATTTATAAAATATTAAAATTAAAGTATATTATAGAGAAAATAAATAGCTATTTTTTCTAATAAAATGGTAGAAAAAATAATGTCGAATTAAATTTATTATATTTTAACTATATAATAAATATTTAAGAAAAAACGAAATTTATTTTTAAAAATATTATATATTTTTCTTATATAATTATTTTTATTATTTTATAATTTTTTAAAGTAATTAATAATTATTAAAGAATATATTTTATTAAAAATTTATATTAAAGGAATATTATAATAAATATTTCTTTATTAATTATTAATTAATATAAAGGCTTATATTTATTAATTATTTAATTATATAAGTAATAAAGCTATTTAAAAAAAGGAAATATAGTTTTTAATAAGTTAATTTCTTCTTTTTTGTCCAGCGCTTTAAGGAACTGCTGGTATTATGTATAAACCACCCGGTGGCAGTCTAAGGGGTCCAAGAACATTTCCTAGGACCGGTGAGCTAGTTGGTGCTTTTCATATTAAGCTATTGTTATATATTAGATTATATTCTTATTTATACCTTTATTAGGTTATATATGTAAGATTATTAGGGTAAACATTATTAATAATAGCTTGAGGGGGCGTAGCCGTTCTCTGATAAACGGGGGGGGGGGGGGGGGGGGGGGGGAAAAAAACGGCCGGCCATTAAATAAAAAAAAAAAAAAAAAAATG